ATCATCCTCATCCTCATCCTCATCCTCATCCTCATCCTCATCCTCATCCTCATCCTCATCCTCATCCTCATCCTCATCCTCATCATCATCATCATCATCATCATCATCATCATCATCATCATCATCATCATCATCATCATCATCAGCATCAGCATCATCATCAACAACAGCATCACCACCACCACCACCATCACCATCACCATCATCAGCATCAACTTCAGCATCCCCATCCTCATCCTGATCGTCATCCTCATCCTCGTATTCATCCTCAACATCATCATCATCATCATCATCATCATCATCATCATCATCATCATCATCATCATCATCATCATCAGCAGCAGCAGCAGCAGCAGCAGCATCAACATACTCATCAATAGCAGCATCATCATCATCATCACCACCATCATCATCATCATCATCAGCAACGTAATCCACGCTAACTAATCGTCACCGTCATCATCAGCAATCCCTCTTCCTTAAAAGCAGCTCCACCCTGTAGCACCCCGAATCGGGTCGGTAGGTCGGGCTGGGCGTTTCGCGTGAGCTTCATCACTTATGATCTGAGACAAGAGATTTGCAAAACATTAACGGATGGAGGGCGGGCCGTTTCCAAAATGTGGCTCTCGTCTCAGCGCCGCGTACATTCGTCTTAAGCGTTTGCAAGAGTTTCACGAATGGAGGGCGGCTATGTTTCCCAACAATCCTGTGGTGGTGGGTCTTCGTCTTGAACGGACAGCGCCACGCGTTTCTCTTTTTCGCCTCCTCCCCCCCCTCTCCCCACCTCCCATCACCACCATCAGCATCATCATCATCATCATCATCATCAGCATCATCATCAACATAAGCGTCATCATCATCAGCATCACCATCATCAACATCAACATCAACATTATCATCAGCATCATCGTCAGCAGCATCATCATCATCATCATCATCATCATCATCATCATAATCATCATCATCATCATCATCATCATCATCATCGTCATGACCATCATCATCATCAGCATCAGCATCAGCATAACCAGCATCATCATCTTCATCATCATCGTCATCAGCATCATCATAATCACCATCATTTGGATGACCATAATCACCATCAAAGCACCATCATCATCATCATGATCAGCAGCAGCAGCAGCAGCAGCATCAACAACATCATCAACAGCAGCAGCAATCTAATCATCATCATCATCATCATCATCATCATCATCATCATCATCATCATCATCATCATCATCATCATCATCATCATCATCATCATCATCATCATCATCATCAGTATCAGTATCAGCATCAGCATCAGCATCATCATCATCATCAGCATCATCATCAGCACAATCGTCATCGCCACCCATGTCGCCCTCCCTCCTCTTTCGCCACACCCACTGCAGCGCCTCGTGGCCCCATAGGGAGCTCCACCGAAGGTCCCAGTGGGACCGCCCGCATGGGCCCGCCACACCCAGTACTGCGCTTCGTGGCCTCAGAGGGAGCCCCACAAAAGGTCCCAATGGGACCGCCCGCATGCGCCCGCCACATCCAGTACAGCGTTTCGTTGCCCCATAGGGAACTCCACCGAAGGTCCAAGTGGGACCGCCCGCACGCGCCCGCCACGCCCAATACAGCGCTTCGTGGCCCCATGGGGAACCCCACCGAAAGTCCAAGTGGGACCACCCGCATGCGTCCGCCAGACCCACTGCAGCGTTTCGTGGTTCCACCGGGAGCTCCACCGAAAGTACCAGCGGGATCGCACGCATGCGTCCGCCACACACAGTACAGCGCTTCGTCCCCATAGGAGGCTCCACCGAAGGTCCCAGTGTGGCCGCCCGCATGCGTTCGCCACACCCAGTACAGCGCTTCGTGGCTCCACCGAAGGTCCCAGTGGGACCGCCCATGCGTCCGCAACACCCTGTACAGCGTTTCGTGGCCCCCTGGGAAGTTCCAGCGAAGGCCCCAATGGGACCGCCCGCGTGCGGTGGCCCTTTAGGGAACCCCACCGAAGGTCCCAGTGGGACCGGGACCGCCCGCATGCGCCCACCACACCCAGTACAGCGCTTCGTGGCCCCGACTTTAGGGCCCCACCGAAGACCCCAGTTGGACCGCCCGCACGCGTCGGCCACACCCAGTACTGCGCTTCGTGCCCTCAGAGGGAGCCCCACAAAAGGTCCCAATGGGACCGCCCGCATGCGCCCGCCACACCCAGTACAGCGTTTCGTTGCCCCATAGGGAACTCCACCGAAGGTCCAAGTGGGACCGCCCGCACGCGCCCGCCACGCCCAATACAGCGCTTCGTGGCCCCATGGGGAACCCCACCGAAAGTCCAAGTGGGACCACCCGCATGCGTCCGCCAGACCCACTGCAGCGTTTCGTGGTTCCACCGGGAGCTCCACCGAAAGTACCAGCGGGATCGCACGCATGCGTCCGCCACACACAGTACAGCGCTTCGTCCCCATAGGAGGCTCCACCGAAGGTCCCAGTGTGGCCGCCCGCATGCGTTCGCCACACCCAGTACAGCGCTTCGTGGCTCCACCGAAGGTCCCAGTGGGACCGCCCATGCGTCCGCAACACCCTGTACAGCGTTTCGTGGCCCCCTGGGAAGTTCCAGCGAAGGCCCCAATGGGACCGCCCGCGTGCGGTGGCCCTTTAGGGAACCCCACCGAAGGTCCCAGTGGGACCGGGACCGCCCGCATGCGCCCACCACACCCAGTACAGCGCTTCGTGGCCCCGACTTTAGGGCCCCACCGAAGACCCCAGTTGGACCGCCCGCACGCGTCGGCCACACCCAGTACAGCGTTTCGTGGCCCCATAGGAAGCTCCAGCAAAGGCCCCAGTGGCACCGCCCGCATGCGCCCCCCCCCCCACACCCAGCACAGCGCTTTGCGGTCCCATAAGGAGCTCCACCGAAGGCCTCAGTGGCACGCCCGCATGCGCCCCTCACCCCACCCCACCCCGCTCCCACCCAGTACAGCGCTTCGTGGCCCCATAGGGAGCTCCGCCGAAGATCCCAGTGGCACCGCCCGCATGCGTTCGCCACACCCAGTACAGCGCTTCGAGGGCCCATAGGACGCTCCAGCGAAAGCCTCAGTGGCACCGCCCGCATGCGTCTCCTCCCCCACCCAGTACAGCGCTTCGTTGCCCCATGCGAAGCTCCACCGAAGGACCCAGTGGCACCGCCCGCATGCGTCCTCCCACCCATTACGGCACGCCCCAACACGCGATGCGTGGCCCACCGACAGCGGAACCCACAACGCGTTACTGACAATTGTATATGGTTGGGTCCTCCGCCAGGATGATTCAACAGAGAGTCTGCCACGTCTCTGGCATTTTCGCGCGCGCGCTTCCTCACGCGCCGTCATTGGCCTAGCCGTCGTCACCGCCATCATCCTCATCACCATCGCTACTATCATCATCATCGTTGCCGCCGTTGTCGACGTCATCATGATACAGTCGGGCCCCTGAAAGAAGGAACGCTAAATAAGGAACGAAGCCCCTTTTTGGCCCTAAAAGCGCCTCCGCGTCCGAGGAGGGCGAGAGGGACAGCAAAGGAGGAACCTGGGGAACATCGAGCCCCTTCCGAACCCAAACAGTTCCTTATTTCAGCCTCTTGACGGTACCGCGCCCGCCTGAGTCACCGACGCGCACAGAAGTGCCCGCACGCCAGCACGGCCTCCGAGACGCCCAATAGATCACACTACATAGCTGACACGTCCACATTGCACCTAGCAGACGGGGAGCGAAATGAGGAACCCCCAACAGCGGCTGCTTGCACGGGGAGCGTTAGAGGCACAGCCGTGGAACGGCGGGCTCCTTCCGAACCCGACCCGCCTCTTAGCTCAGCGCCTTGGCCGCACTCTCCCCCCCCCCTGCGAGGCGGGGATTTCTCCATGCCCACCGCCTGGGAACCGACGTCCTGGTGCCCCCGCGGGCGGTGGCTATGGATATGTCTTGGCCCCCCGGGGGTCCGAATATGTCCACATCCACCGCCTGCCGGTGGTCCCCGACATCGATCCTCCGCGCTGGCCGTGCAGAAACCCCCGCCTCGGCCCCCCGCCCCCGGCGCCCAGTGCGCACCGACGGACACGCGGAAGCGGCAGCGCCCCCGGCGCCCGCGCACCGGCTCTGGCCCCCCGGGGCAGCCGCGGCGTGCTCCGCAGGGCCCCGCCTTCCTGCCACGGCCGTGGACGAGAGGCCTCCTCCACCACGGTCGTGTCCCCGAGCCCTGCAGCACGCCCGGACCGTATCCATCCGAGCACGGTCGTGCGTGTGAAGGAGAGCGCCAAGCGCAAGAAACCCGAACGCAGCACGGCACGGCAGCTGACGGCACACAGGGGAGGCAAGGGTCGCACCTCCACCTCCCTTCCCCCGCCCCCTCTCGGGCGCACGCTGACATGGGTCAGGGAACGCACCTGAGCCTCCACTGAAGCATGAGGAAACTGCAGCCTTATTCGGCGACGCAGCGTGCCAAGTCTGCACAGATGCGGGACCCGTCGCTAATCCACGCGACTTGATCCATGTTAGCCCTCTCGCGACCCTCCTCCAACTCCTCGAATTCCTTCTCCCACCCCTCCCCCTCCTCCCCCTCCCCTTCTCCCAGCGGGGGAAAATCGGACATCCCCTGGGGTGTGTTCTGACCAAGATTTCGAAGCGAATCCAGCCGCGGCGACAAGAGAAGGGTAGCGGCATCAGTATCTATTCCTCTGACCTTCCTCCAGCTCCTTCTCTCCCCCCTCCCCTCCTCCCCCCGTCTCCGACCCAGGAGCGGGCAGAGTAAGACAAAAGCAGGGCGAGAACAACAGCGGGTGAGGATAAATCGAGAACCTCTGAGATCCGGCAGCTCTGGAGGACGTCTCGGGCGCCGCGGCCTTCTCAGAGCGTTCCAGAACGCTCTGAGAGCGTTCCGGAACGCTCTGGAACGAATTTATCCGTATCCTTGTCCTGGCCCAAAAGCCGAGGGCGTGCATCCGATTGTTGCCCTGGTTGGCTTCCGTTGATTTTTTGTTCGCGGCGCCGCACCGCGCCGCCGGGTGCGCCGCCGCGGAGGAGAGCGGAGCGGGAGTGCTCGGGCGCTGCTGACACTGTCGCGCGCCCATTGCGATAGACAGGTGGGCGTCGCGGGTAGGAGGCGAATTTGCCTGGAGAAGGCGGAGAAGGCGGTCACACAAGGGCGGCGCGCGGTTCGGGTCAGAGTCAGAAACGAGGAGGAGGAAGGAGGAGGAGGAGGAGGAGGAGGAGGAGAAGGAGGAGGAGGAGGAGGAGGAGGGGGCCTCCCCCTCTGCCTGCTGCGGTGCGCGGGGGGTGGCATTAGCCTCCTCCTGCTGGCGCTGTCATATTCTATGAGGGCGCCCTTCTTGCAGGGTGGCCGCGCTGGCCGCACCCAATTCTGGCGGCCAAGGCTGCTAAGCAGGACCTGGACCCTCCTCGTTCGGGTCGCACCCGAGGCGCTTGTTCTCGCAGCACCAGGAGGTCTTGCCCTCGGACCACCCCCGCTGCCAGTGCGCGTACCCCGCGCTGCAGTCGAACGGGTCGGAGGGCGCCTCCGTGGTCTGGCACCCGAGCTGCCTATGATTGCAGCACCAGGCCATCTTGCTGGCGGACCAGCCCCGCTCCCAGTTGGACAGCCCGGCCTGGCAGTCGTACGGGTCGGACGAGGTCGTCGCCTCGCATCCGACCTGCTCGTGCTCGCAGCACCACGAGATCTTGTACGGCGACCACCCGCTCGTCCACACCGCCTCGCCGTCGTGGCAGTCGAACGTCAGACCGTCCACCTCGAGACCCGCCCCCGGCTCCCCGCCCTCCTCGCTATCCGGCACAGCCACGTCGGGCTCGGACATCGAGTCGTCCAGGGGCACGTCCACGGGCTCCTCTGGCGCCGCCGGCTCTGCGGCGGGGCCCTCGGCGGCGGTGGTGGTCCCCGTGCTCCTCGTCACCGTAGTGGTCGTGCCCCCGAGCAGCTCGGAGAAGACGACCACCTGCAGCGCCTCTGGCGTCAGGGACGAGTCCTGCAGGCCCTTCTGCGCCAGCAGCCCCCGCATCGTAGACACGAAGGTCGCGGGGTCCTTGCCGATGAAGTGCGCCAGGTTCTTCACGCTCGCGACCTCTCCTTCGTACGCCCTGATGGTGTAGGATGCGTCCCAAGTGTGGCGCGCGGACGCCGACCGCGTCTGGCCGTCAACGGCGAGCAAGCGCCGGTCTTCCGGGAACACCGAGATCTCCACGACCTGGCTCGCTGGGATGTTCAGCCGCATGCCGAGGGAGGACCTTACCACCTCCTCCAGCTGCTCCTTGGTCGCCTCCGTCGCAACCATCGACAGGAAGCCCGTCAGCTTCGTCCACGGCCTGGTGGTGGTGGTGGTCTGCGTGGTGGTGACCATGGTGGTGATCGAAGTTCTGGTCGAAGTAGGCTCGGGGCCCTGCAGGCCAGTGAAGCCAGAGATGCCGAAGGCGCTCCCGGCGAGCTCGGCCTCTTCCACTCCGCCCTCGACGAGCCGCTGCCGCAGGGTCTCCTCGAAGGCATCCGGCTGCTGCACGATGGCGTCGCTCACCAGCCTGGTGTAGGGGTACCTCGAGTCCGGCACGTCGACCCTGTATGACACCTGCCACTCCATGGAGGGCGCCAGCGGGCTCGAGGACGCGTGGACTGAAGTCCCGACCTATGAGAGGGGGACAAAAAACCAACTGCACGAACAACAGCTTTTGGAGCTCCGTGCGTATTTCTTGGATCGGCGCTGGGCCCCCACCCTGGCGCGCGGAGCACGCCAGGGGCGGCGCCAGAGGCGCCGCCAGGGGGGTCCAGCGCAGGTCCAAGAACTCGGCGCGGACCTCTGCAGCTGCTGCTGCTGCTGCTGCTGCTGCTGCTGCTGCTGCTGCTGCTGCTGCTGCTGCTGCTGCTTCTTTTTCTTGTTGTTGTTGTTGTTCTTCTTCTTCTTCTTCTTCTTCTTCTGCGAGGCCTGCTGGGCGCTCAGGTTGAGCCACACCGATAGCGTGACCTGCACGGCGCCCGCCACGCGGTCCTCGTCCAGGCCCGCGCCAGCGCCCGCGCTCAGCGTCAGGAACCCGCGCAGCGTGGTCGCCGGCTCCACCGGCTCGCCGGGCGGGGGCACCGCGTCCGTCGTCGACTCGGAGGCGTTGGGGTCCCAGGACGCGTTGGAGTCCTCGAGCTCCTCGTCGCCCAGGCCCGAGCTCGCGCAGAGCTGCGAGCGATGCAGGCCGCGGCCACCGAAGGCCTGCTGGACGGCCTCGAACAAGGGGGTCTGCGACCCCTCCTGCTCTGCCGGGTCCAGGCACCAGGAACTGTAGATGCTCGTGCCGAAGTTGAACTTGGCGATCGCTTTGTCGCCCAGGCCAAAGATGCCGAATTCTAGATCCTGGTCCTTCAGGTCGTAACGGACCTGAAACTCGTAGAAGAGGATGCCGGTGAGCATGCTGTCGCCGCTAGCCGCCACCTTCAGGATGGCTTCCAGGTCGCTGCCCTGGTCCACCCACAGGTTCTGCGCGTGGTACTCGCTCACGAGAAGCGGCACGCCCTGGAAGTTCTCATCGTAGGAGCCGAGGAAGAGCTTCTGGAAGTCATCTGCACTGTCCGCCGTGCTGACGCTGTTCACAAACCTCCGCTGGTAGGCCTCCCAGAGGTCGTGTTTCGGCTTGTACCCGTACCTGGAGGAGCAAGGAGCACCATAAACATAAGCTTTCGCGGGTCCGCGTACACTTATTGGGTCGACGATGGAGCCCCCTCGCGGCGACTCCGGCACCGCCCCCTGGCGCGTTCCGCGCGCCAGTGAGTCGGGTCCTGCGCCCATCCGAGCGATCCGCGCGGACCTGTGGACATTCAGGCAATCGCATCGCTCCCTCCGCCAGCCCATATTGCAACACTGCTGCTCTGTTGGCGTGCTCAGGGTGAGCGAGGAGGAGGACGAGGACGAGGACGAGGACGAGGAGAAGGAGGAGGAGGAGGAGGAGGACGAGGAGGAGGAGGGGGAGGAGGAGGAGGAGGAGGAGGAGGAGGAGGAGGAGGAGGAGGAGGAGGAGAGGAGGAGGACGAGGAGAGGAGGAGACGAGGAGGAGGAGGAGGAGGCGGAGATGACGGTAGGAGGAGGAGGCGGAGGCGGAGGCGGAGGGAGGAGGAGGAGGAGGAGGAGGATGAGGCAGGAGGAGGAGGAGGAGAAGAAGGAGGCACGAGGAGGAGGACGAGGGACGAGACGAGGACGAGGACGAGGAGGAGGAGGAGGAGG